CTTGCATAATCCTCTATGGGTTTTGCTACGGTACCCTAAATAACTGTGGACCGTCAATCTGGCGATAATCACATATTACCTTCTAAAGATAACAGGATAAATATTTTTTATTTTGAGAAATAGGAAAGTATTAGGTCGTGGGACTAGGGGTTCACGTTGGGTTTCAACTCTAGCCTATCCCACCTTGTTTGAGACTAAAAAGCTTTGTTGTTGATGTTGTTGTTGTTGTTGTTGAGAAATAGGAAAGTATGTAAAATTTTATGTAAAATATCTAATTAACATGCATATATGCCACAGCTTGAAGCATGCATTTGTATGGATGGTTTCTAGACTGACATGTAAAGTATTTTTGTCAACGTTTGTTGTACCTATACTTGAGTATTTTTTTTAATGTGACAAAAATTAGAGGTGTGTTTTAGTTATTTATCTAAAAATTGGATCATAAACGTGTTCGTAACGAGAACAGTCTTGAACGTGTTGATATTTAAATTATTGGTAACGAGAACACCGTACCTTCCTTGAACGTGTTGGTATTTAAATTATTTATTTATTTTTATTCATAATCCTAACATTAGTATTTTCAGAACGTTAGTATTTTACAAATGTATGTTGGTAACAAGTTCTACTGTGGAACATAACTTTTCATGTTGATTTATTAGATTCATAACACCAGGTGTACCTCTACCATCTACCTTGCCAAAGCCGCTACACCCGTACAGGAGTATATGCCGCCGTTGCATGCTGTGCAGGTGCACCCATGTATGGCAACAAACAAGCTTTTGGCGTTGATTTAGTTTGTTGCCTTTTTCTTTTTTTTCTTATATTATAATTACTTAATAATTACTATCAAGAGTTAAGATTTATTTGAGTTCTTACCATCTATGAGGTAATTGGGTACCTTAGCAAGGCCCTCTATATATATAGAGACCTTTTTTTTTGGGTTATGAACCCACAAAATTAACGGTAGTGCTAGTGCTAGCATCCAGATGTCCGGACGGACGTACACGTCTGGACGGCCGCGCTTGCACTTCGCCTCCGCGCCAACCCGACGAGGCGTCTGCGCCCAACCCAACCCCACGCGGCGTCTGCGCCCCCAGCCAACCCCACGTGGTGCCTATACCCCACCCGACCCCTCGTGGCCCTCTAGCAACTGTAATAGGCGGATGACATTGCAACATGTGCAAACACCCGATCTACTTTTGAAACATCCAGATGCAACATACGTTCGAAGACAGATGAAACACTTGAAAATGCTTCTGAAACAATTGAAAAAACACCTGAAAAACGCTTGAAAACCATTGCAAACATACACAACATCCAAATGAAACACTTACAACATATGCGTGAAATATATACAACATCCAGATAAACACACTTGCAACATACGTCTAAAAAACATATTGAACATTGGAAACAGACACTTGCAACATACATGTACAACCATTGTAACATATGTAACATCCCCGATCTTTTGCAACATTTGCATGAAACAATTGCAACATACCTCTGAAACACTTGAAATATACACTTGCAATATGTGATTTCAACGCAACATCTTCTTGCTGCTTGGGAGAATGGAGGCTCGTCGGCGTGCCAGAGGCGCTTGTAGGCGCCGGGCCAACGGCGGCGGCTCCGCAACGTGGCGGAGAGGCAGTGGCTGCACGACTGGGAGAGGGCAGCCGCACGCTACGCCGTCCTACAGCGATGTCTCGGTGGCGCGGAGCTCACCGCTTCGGTGAAGACGGCCGTAGCAGGTCGCTCCGGTGGAGAAGGCAGGCGAGAGGCGCAGCGGAAAGAGAGGCGCGATGGAGAGGAAGGCGAGCGGTAGCGCGTGGTGGAGAGGGAGGCGCAGTGGAGAGAAGGTGGGCAGGAGGCACAGTGGAGATGGCGGCGGGATGCGCGGTGGAGCGCGGTCACAGGCTCACGATGGTGGAGGTAAGTGTATAGGATAAGATAGGAGGCCGGCCTCTCCAGTGGCGGATCCATGATAAAATTTGACCTATGGCGAGGTTCTTACTTTTAATTTGAGTGACAGAACACTAAAAAGTGATGTTCCAAATACACTACAGATGAATTTGTCATTCACAATTGATGATATACTTAACTAAAAGATAAAATTAAAAATTAGATAATACTACTGATTTAAGCCCCCTTTGGCACGGCTCATCTAAAACGGCTTTACCGGTGAAGTCAAAGCCGGTGAAGCCAGAAAAACTAGGTTTTTCCGGCTTCTAGTTCATTTTAACCCCGGCTTACAAAACGACTTCACACTACAGTGCCTCGATTTGCGCAAAATAGATAAAGCCGAAGCCGGCATAAACCGTGCCAAAGAGGCCCTTAGTCATTCAACATGCTAGCACTAATGAATGTCGTGGAGGCGATGGCATGCAAATTCACCCGAGTCGCGGTTGCAGCCGTCGTTGCCCATCGCCCATCGGCGCCATTGCCGGTCGTGACTCGCGATTGATTGTCGATTCATCACCTCGTCCGCTCAGCAGTGAATGCTGAAATCGGAACGAATCACCAAAACTCCATGTTCACCTTCCTATGGTAGTAGTATGGCCTCTCCTGTAACATGGATGCAGCTAGTCACCTTCCCATTAGGACGAGCCGTTCAGGTCCAAAACATCATTGCTCCTCCTCACGTAATCACGTAAGAACCGTAAAAGTGATCAAGGCAAAATCTAGCGCCGATAGAGGAGGCAAGGGTTGATCACCATCGGGAGGTCCGGCGGCTGCCAAACCTTGCCAGAGCGGTAGATCCGCCCTTGGGCCTCCCGGCCTGCCAGCGGGGCCGTTCGGGATAGACAGACGCTCTAATACTAGCATTACTTGTTAGCTCGCAGCTCGATTTATAGTCAGATGGATAGGCATGTTTTTGTTTTCTAGCTCCACTTGATGGTGTTTGTAACTCATACTGTTGTCTATCTAACACCGGTGTTTTAGCACCTGGTAACATCCAAATTTTTTCCTCTATGGATACTGTTCATCTTTCTCCTTGGCACAAATCACAAATTATAAGTAACAAATTACAGATCACAAGTAACAAATTTTTTTTTCTATGAAAGGACATAGACAGATCTTGGTGGTGACGCCGGAGTTGGGGAAGAAGAAGGTCGCCGGAGTTAGAGAAGACGTTGGGTGCTGCGGCTGCGGCGGCGGCGGCGCGGGGACGGGTGGGCGCAAGCACGGTGGCAACACGGGTGCGGTGACGCAGACGCGGTTCCACGGCCAAAAAAAATCGTGTGCAGCACCCGGTTGTTGTATAGCATTTCTGCTTATGATACCTGTCGGTGTTTCGTACAAGCACCGGCAAGTAAATTTATAGTAATGCGCGTTAGGCTTGGATGGTGTGCTAAAGGACACAAGATTTATACTGGTTCGGGCCGAAAGTCCCTACGTCCAGTTTGTTGCTGCTTGTGTTATTAGCACCGTGAACGGTCTGTAGTAAGGGGTACAAACGATCGAGAGAGGGACTGGTCCCAAGTCTCTGGTGGAAGGGTTGAAGGGATGTCAAGAGGTTCGACACAACTTGACTATGCGTATCTGAGAGTCGTCTCGTTCGATCTCTCTTTTTCCCCCCTTTATGGAGGAAGCGCATCCCCTTTTATAGATGAAGGGGCTGGCTTTACAAGGGTGAGCGCTTTAGGATGCGTACTCTACTTAGTCTTGTGGTTCACGTCTACCCGGCCTGGTCCTTCATTTTGATGAGTGCGAAGGAAGATAAGCGCCTACAATACTGTCGATGTCCCGGTAGAATGTCAGGTTGGTTACAGAATGCTATCCTACGCAGGGTATAGGCCGAAGTACAGTGGTTTTGACTTTTGAGCCTCCCCCAGCCTTGCTCCGCACGTCTTCTGGTTCCTATGAGTCTTCGTCGGAGGGACGCGGGGTCGGGGTCTGGAGTAGCGCCGTGGCCAAGGTCTTCTGTCTTGGTGGACCTGAGGGGTCGGGAAGCGGGCGCCGCTCCCTTGGGTCCACCGCGTGGTGACGGAATATCCGTCGTTCGTGGAGATAGCAAATCCTTTTCTGGAGCGTAGTGGTTGTCGTATATCTTCATCGGGTTTCGTGTCCCAGAGCTGAAGGCGGCGCCTACAACTCTACAGGGTGGAGAGCTCGCACCTGTGACACCTTTCGGGCTCTGCGGCGCCTGGAAGGGCCTAAAGCGCCCGTCCCGTCATCCCCTGGCAGTACTTTTCCTACCAGGGTGCAGGGTATGGCTCTTGGAGCCACGGTTGACCCGAACGTCATGTCTTGCCCTGTCTCTATCATCTTGAAGGAACAGGGAGAAGTGGTCAGGTAAGATGAATCCAATCTTTAGATATGGAGCAGAGTGAGGCTTGTTTCTTGCCGTCGGGCGAAGCGGAGACCAATCCCTATCTTCTGGGCGAGACCGACCCTGCTCCTCCGGGGTCGGGCAAGGCGGAGTCTATCCCTCAGCCCTCGGGCGAGACCGAGCCCGCTCCTCCGGGGTCGGGCGAGGCGGAGTCTATCCCTCAGCCCTCGGGCGAGACCGAGCCCGCCCTAAAGGCGTCGGGCGAGACGGAGACTAGCCCTGGGCCCTCGGGCGAGACCGAGCCCACCCCAAAGGCGTTGGGTGAGGTGGAACCAAGCTCCTGTCATTCCCGTGAGGGGTGAAGCAACGCTCTTATGCGTCCAGAAGTTTTTAACGTTCGGTGGTTATTGGTTCCACCTTCTGGGGTACCCCGGTATTAGGTCCCCGACAATACCTGAATATGATGGGGAGAGTTTTTTAAAAAAAATTACGGCAAATTTAAGTCTATACGAAGCATGAGGCATCTGAATTAGCTGGGTGGGCCTCAACCGTGGATCGATTATGAGCGAAGGGGAACATTCGACATTGCTACACAGGCACACAACACATCAACACAACCCGCCGAGCACAACGGGCCAGGCGAGCGATCCGTCGTTTCACGCTCACGAGACGCACAGCGCTCTGCGCTCTATCAATCAGTGCAGTGCCCTCGCCGACAGTGCCCTCAAGGATGCAGCGCCGAGTAGGTCCGGTACTTGTACTCCGCCGCCGCGTCCTCCTCTGTGACGGCGTCGGCCGGCTCGCTCGAGCTGTGGGATTTGCTGCGGCACGGCAGGTAGCTGTTGACGGGGCACGTCTTGGGCTTGCGGAGGAACTTGGCGCACTCCTCGTGCGAGCGCTGGTTGGGCGCCCACTGGATGCAGTTGCGGTCGACGTTGAGCCTCCCTTCCTTGATCAGGTCCCAGCAGCAGGACCCGAGCGACGTGAAGTAGTTGCCGGAGAGCGTGAGGTTCTTGAGGTGGCTGAAGGCGAGCCGGCAGAGCGCGTCGGGCACCTCGCCGTACAGGAGGTTGTCCGCCAGGTTGAGCTGCTCCACCTTGCGCAGGCACGCGAACGACGCCGGTATGGTGCCGGTGAGGCGGTTGGTGCCGGCGTCGATGACCGTGGCCTTCTCGAGCAGGCCGAGCTCGTAGGGGAGGCAGCCGCTGAGGCTGTTGTTGAGGAAGAGCACCTCGAAGAGCGTGCCGGCGTTGTGGGCGATGGACTTGGGTATCTCCCCCGTGAACCTGTTGTTGGCGAGGGAGAGGTAGTTCACGGGCGACTGCCCGATGTTGTCCGGGAGGCTGCCGGAGAACTGGTTGTTGTTGACGAAGATGGCCTGCACCCGCGGGAACCTGCAGAAGACGCCCGCCGGGAGCTCCCCGTAGAAGCTGTTGAACCGGATGTCGATGAAGGTGGCGTTTGTGAGGCCCAACACGTCCGTCGGGAACGTGGCCGGCGCGAGCTTGTTGTTGCTCAGGTCCAGCTCGTAGAAGTACTGCAGGCCGCCGAGCTTCGGCACGGCGCCGCCGAAGTCGTTGGAGTTGGCGTGGAACAGCGCCAGGTCCGGGAGGCTGTTGATGAAGCCCTGCAGGGAGTCCGCCCGCAGCATGTAGCCGTTGAAGTCGACGGACGCGATGGTCCGGTCCGTCACGTTGGGCGGCCGCTCGCAGAAGAAGCCCTTGTAGCCGCCGCACAGGTCGGTGCCGCTCCAGCTCCGGGTGATGTCCATCGGGTCGCACGTCACCGTGCTCCTGAACTGCTGGATCACGAGGTACGCCCTGTACAGCCGCTCGTTCTCGAAGTCGCACGGCCGCGGCTGCGACGACGACGGAGGCGAAGGCGACGAAGGGCTGCTGCCGCCTCCCTCACCGCCGCCGCCGCCGCCAATGCCGATGCCGATGCCGATGCCGACGCCCCCGCCGCCGCCGCCGCTGCCGAGGCCGACATCGAGGTCCTGCCGGTGCCGGCTCCGGCTCGGCCGGCTGGCTCCGCCACGGCTGTCCACGAGCGCAGCGCAGGAAACCAAGAACCAGAGGAGAGCAACAACGCTTCGCGCGGCGCGTGCTGGACCTGGACCTGCCATTTCCCGGATACTGATCACGGGAAGCGTCGGTGGCAGAAGACGGGAGAAACCACGTGGGACGTGGCTCCTGTCCTGCGCCTTTCACGCTCGCGAGTCGAGAGAGCCAGCCGGTTCCGCGCGGCGTCTCCTGCCCAAATCTCCCCGCGAATCGGATAGTGCGTGAGGGAGCGCGACCGCGACGGCGCGTTCGAGTGGGCGAGTGGCATGGCCGTCAGGGTGCGGTATATAAACGCCCGCACATGTGCACGCTTGCTGCTTGCATTAAACACTTCACTCTGGCCGGCCAGGAAGGCTCGGTAGTTGGGATGGAACTTGGGAGCGGCAAGAGTGATCCTTCCTGCGATGGCAATGGGCATGTGCAGTACTCTCTCCATCAAAAAAAAAAACGTAACTACGGATTACGTGTTCGCATAAGTGGTTTATTTTTGACTAAATTTCTAGTAAATACTATTCATATTTATGGCTCTAAAATAATTTATTGTGGAAATACATTTCGTAGTTAATCTAATGATATTTATTTCATATCATAAATATTGACACCTTTTTCATCTATAATTGATTGAACTTAGGATACTAAACCATTACACCGTGCTAGAATTGTATTTTTTTCTGGACGGATGGAGTAACGTGTAACGGTGGTGTGGTACGTTGCTCCAGTAATTGCAGTGCTCTAAATTAGTTTTTTTTTTCCGCAAACATGTCGTTGTGACACATACTTCATTAAGTAGCAGAAGAGTTCGACTTATTACAACGCTTGCACGTAATCCATAGATTACCTGTCCTTCGCCAGTGCTCTGAATTATGAAAGGAAGGATTGTACTGTAATTCTGTTCGGTATTTACTGTCCTTCGCCGGGGGTTGTTTCAGTTTCAGACGATGAGCTTGTCCTGTTGCCTGTGGGACTGTCCATATATGCAATTATGCAGTATCCAGATTCCAAATAATTGGAGAGATTGACTAGACTGATGCTCCGAGCTATTGATTGATCAAAAACAATTGGATGCATTTGATTCAGAAAACAGAGTATTCTACTACTTCATCGTAGTAATGGTGCTTCGATTTGATAGTATTGAGCTAAGCTATCAAATCGACCAAAGCGAACCTGATGAGTGGTGACCAGGATTGACTTGTTTTTCACCGGTTTGCAGTCCGCTGCCTTTTGAGTCCTGAACCTGACCAGCTCCTTCAGGTGAGACCAAAGTGCTACGTTCAGTATCACTTTTCTGTACAATGTGCAAGTTCGGTATCTACATGACTACATTCACCTTTTCTCGGTGCTTAGCACTGGGCACTTTTTTGCGTAGTCACTCAAACAGTAGTAGGTTGGCTACCTGGTGATTGGTGACCAGGATCGAATCACAGGTTTCACCGTGCTCATTCTCAACTGAAAGCCAACTCGCCAACACCTTTTTGCGCATAGACCTGGCTAAGGTGTACTCTGGCTAAGGTGTACATGACCAGGATCGATCTATCATTGACCACGTGAGATAATACAAGTTCCCTGTGTATATCTTACAGGTAGTGTTGGAAGGAAACGTGAAAACTAATAAAACAGTCCCATCTCGTCGTTATTAGGCAACTTGGAGCGCATTATTTCAACAAACGACGAGAAGTCGACATACCCTATATATAAAACCGTACGGAATGGAATAAAGTACAAAATAGATTTACAAAAATCGTGGTCCAGAAGTGCCTTATCAAAACCCATAGGTCATTGCCCCTCAGCTCGATTGCAATCGATTTGATAGGAAAAAGCTTGAAAAGAAAGAGGATAAACTGAAATAATCTGTTTTGTTTCCATCTAGTACTTTTCCAAAATATAAACGTAGCTCTTCAATTTTTGCAACATTTTCGGTTGTGTTCCCAGAAAATAAAACTTTTGCACCAGGCCACTGCTAAACTTCCACCAGTGAAGTCGGCTACTACCTGACAATAGGCCTGTTCGCTGGTTGGTGCTGGTGCTGGTTTGGACTGGCTGCTGCTGGTTTTTTGAGAGAAAAACACTGTTGGCTGACTGGTTTGGCCCGTCGACGGCGGTGGTTACGGTGGTTGCGTGGGCGCTTTCGGCCCTTTTCCGCGCTAGTTTGCCTCGGCTCGGCTGTTCCCTTGGCTCGGCATCTCCCTCTTCCTCTCGATCGGCGCTGGGTGTCCGGCCAAACTGACGCGCAGCACGGACGCGAAAAGACAAGGGACCTGTGCCAGCTCGTGGTCACGGGCTGCTAACAATAATGCGCCGTTGTCCCGTTGCCGCTGCCGCGCGGGCTCGGGCGATCGGTGTGTGTCCCGCGCGGCAGAGCGGTGCGACCTGCCGGCTGCGGGTGCAGAGCCGTCGATTCGTGGAGCACGGACACGGAGTTGCCCGGCTGTTCTCTCGCACATGCATGCGCTGCGCGCCGTGCGCGGCAGGGCACTGTCGCTGCTGAGGGGCAGCTCGGCGCTCGCGCTGCACCTGCACTGTGCTGGGTCGGCTGCTTCGATCGGACTAGGTAGCTGTGCTGGTTCTCATCGTGCACACACCAGGCTGCACTGCTATACTATCACTAGTTCACTACTCTGCGCGTCGTTCAAGCGTTCTTATTGTACTATCCTGAGTGTTCAACTGTGCACCTCCCCTTTTTATGAGGAGGAGGTGACGGTCCAACTGCAAAATGTGAGTAGTAATACGTCTCAGTCACTCTCATTTGCTCGTCTCGGTACCTCAATCCATGTAGTCGCCGGTGACCCGTACTACTCGCGTATCCGCACTGCCCCCGGTTCTCGGGAAGCCATCCGACCGCACAGCTCGCCGTTGGTCTCCGTACCACGGGCACCAGCCGCAGTTGGTTGTACTACGGGGACAGGTGCTGCGCATCTACCTGTAGGAAGCTAGGCGCTATGGATGGCTCCATTTCTTCCTTTTTGTGCCGTCACTGCTTAATTGTTAATGTTAGGGCTTGTTTAGTTTCTAAAAAGTTTTTTCAAAAAGTGTTACAGTAGTCATCACATCGAATCTTGCGATACGTGTATGGAGCATTAAATGTAGAAAAAAAAACTAATTGCACAGTTTGGTTGAAAATTGCTAGACGAACGTTTTGAGCCTAATTAGTCCATGATTGAACACTAATTGTTAAATAAAAACGAAAGTGCTACAGTAGTCAAATTCCCAAAATTCGCGAACTAAACACAGCCTTAGAGCATGTCCGAGAGGCGTGCAGAAACGACCGCAGCTGCTGTAAGGAAGCCTGGGCATCTGGCTTGGCCGGACAACAGAAGTGGGCAGCCGGGCAGGAGCGTCCGAGGCTTGTAGGAGGCGGTCGGGAGGCGAGTAGGCGACGGGCCAGGGAGAGCGTTTGGCGGCGACGACAAGCGTCGAAAATCAGAGGACAGTCTGCAGCTTAGCAGCCTGGGAACAGGAACATGGCACGTTCCCATGTTCCACGTTTCGGAACATTCCCGTTCCCATGTTATAAAATAACAACTCAAGTTCCCGTTCTCTCATGGGAACATGGCTCCTAAGGTCTGCATTCATGACTTGATCGAGCGGGAGGGGTGAGCACCGGGCGTTGGCTAGGGTTGGGAGGGGGGCTTCGAGTCGGGGGTTGGCAACATAAGGGAGCATTGGCGGTGATTTTTTTTCACTCGATGCACCGTCTTATATCAACTTGCTTATGAGTAATTAAGGATATCTATTCCTCTCTGAACCTTATTAGTCCATTGTAGTCTCTATCATTTCTTTATCAATATGTATGATAGGAGGAAGTGAGCCTAACTCAACTGGTGGTTAGGTGGGAAATATAGTTATGCACCCATCCACTTTTAGGTTAAAGTGCTCTCTCGTCTTGACTTTAGGTGTATCCTATTTTTAATGAAAACCTGCCTAGTTTCTCCTATGTTGGATCTCTTTTCTTTTTCTATACTAGCAAACATGTCTATGAGTTATAGCACGATGTATAATTTTTCGTGTGGTTCTTATGCCAATAATAATGAGATGGTTATTTTTATTGGTTTTAATTAGGCTTAGCCATAATTTAAATCAACTAAAATTTTAAAGCCCATAATAAATGCTAGTCCAATAAAATATTAACCGTGTATGGAAAATTGATATGAGATTGACTGAACTTAGATATGTGGCTATTTGTATGTTTAAGAAAGATGGAAGACAAGACATACGCCCCCACGCATGTCGTGGCATGAATGGGCTCAGGTGAAAGTTCCGATTTGGTTTTAGTAATTTTGTGACAACCTCAGGTGAACTAATATGTGTATTTGTGAGACATACAGGTGCTTAGTCCACAGATACAATAGTGTGAGAAATACATAGAGCCATGGTGGAGAGGTGGCTTGGACATATTGCAAGTGCTCAACTAGTGAGTTGAAGGAGCTCATTGCATATGAGATATGATAGGGTGTCACGTAGCTAGGTCAAGAAAATCAAGAGGCGAGGCTTGTCTATGAAGGACCGGGTTCCTAGTGTGAAGGGCAAGATAGAGGCTCGAGTGGATGGACCATCGAGGCGGTGAAACTAGAACCAAGGGAGAAGATGAATTGGAAATACGTAAGGCAAAGATATGATTTGTAGGTCATTTCATTTCATTGGCCTAGGGTGTTTAGAGAAGAGCATTGGTCGGGTTAAGGATAGATAGCCATACTATCAAGAGGGGTAAATTTGTTTTGCATGTCGGTTGTCTAGTGCACTTGAGAGGTCTAACATGCATTGCTTTTAGAGACGTGTTGTGGTTTGAAAGTTGAGATAAAACATTTGAAAAATGGTTTGAAAATGCTAATTTAGTTCTAAGAGTGTTGGTTGTCTCGTGGGACAACATTTGGAGTTGGCATGCTATAAAAAAGTTTTTTCGGTGTGCACCTAACTATGTGATGGTTCTTGGATTATAATTTTGTTTTCATCCATTATTTTTGGATCAAATATTCAATTGGGATGTATAGTCTTTTAAATAAGCTTTTTAACAGATTCAAAATCATAAAAATCGGATTTCAAAGCTAAGAGTTGTGGCCTGTAAAGT